CCCCCGCCGCTTTTGAATAGAGTCCTTTCAAATATCTGTTTGGATATGAAAAGAACTAAGTTCTTTCTGGAAGCAAGAAGCTCAAAATGCGTAAATTTGCCCGCAGGTTTTGAGCTGTACGTAGTAAATTGCAGATTTTGCCAAAGCACTTTTGGTGATTTTAGAGTCATTCCCTGATAAGTTAAGGATACCCTAAGATGACATTAAAAAAATAATTCACAACTTACCCGGCCCGGCTTCAACGGTCAAAAACTCCTCTTGACTTGTCTCTAAATCCAAAATTTGTTTCTCACCATTTTCTTCTTTGTCTTCAGGTTTAATGAGTTCATGGTGGTCCTCTTTAGCCGTCTCTCCGTTTAAAATATGATGAGCTGTAATACCCAAACACAAATGAGGATAAGTTTCTGCTAACGTGTCAGAACTATGAGTTTGGCACAGAATTGAAGGTAGAATTCTGCAGACAGGGGGAGCGCTGCTTGCTTTAAATAACGCATTTTTCCCCTTTTCTGACCTCTCTCTCCCATGTAACGTGACGTAACAAAGCTTTGCATTAGATGCCGACAGACTCTTGTTCTGAATATGATTGATTAGAATAACACAAAGCTCTCTTTCAAAAGAACGTTTTTTGGAATAACAACTTCAAAGTACCATAGCATCAAATTAGATTTAACTAATTATTAGGGGCGTAATCTTAAAGTTTTCATTGAGAGGAGGGGGGTTCCAAAGTAAAAAGTGTCGCTGAAACATTGTGAAAAATGATATTTTTCTTGAGTAAATTTTTGGGTCATCGCGAAGGGGGGAGGGGGGGTTACAAGCCCCTTACAGCAACCGCACCTCCCTTCTACCCCACTAATCGGTTTAAAATTGTAGGGTTTTTCCCCTTGAAATGTCTTCGAAGACTTGTCTTCGCTACGGGGCCGTCATTTCGTCACCCACGGGGACCCATGGGTCACACTACGTCATTACGGGGAGGGAGGGGTCTAAAAGTGAGTGGCAAGTGGTTAACAAAGGGGGAGGGGGGATAAAACGAAAGTGACTTTACAGTCTCCTGACATAGTGTGATCTTGCAAGTTCAATAACGCAGCATGTCTAAAGAAAGAAACTTAAACCGGAATAAAAGACTTTAAACATTAATAGTGAGAAAAGGAGTGGATTTTAGATTTCCTCCGTGGACGATCTGCTCCGAAGGTCTTAGTTCTGCTGACCAAATTAACTGCTGCATATTGATCAAAGCAGAAATAAAAATGAAAATTTGATCGGGAGAAAAATAGAGCATAACTTGACGGCGCTTGGCGTTCCAATTGGCCGTTTTTTTTTTCACATGACAGATCTGTAAGTGCACATTGCAACGTATAAGTAAAAAAAAATTATTAACATAGATGATACGTACAATATGTCGGGTCTCCTATAGAGGCAACCATGTCGGCGATATCTCTCTTGCACTTTTCCCCCAAAATCTTATCTGTGGCTGCATCTATTATCTTCACCTCCTCCGAATTGTCTAGGTCGGTATATTCCCCGGAGTTCATTATACGAGATGTAGCGGCAATTTGTTTTAAATTGTAGGATCGGAGTGCTACCCCTGCTTTCTTCATCAGATTGATATTTTCATTCAATTCTCTGTCGTACTCTGACAAGGCTTCTAAACAAATAAATAAAATGAATTATAGGTACATGGAAAAACAACTTGGCGCTCGGCCCTCACACTTTAGGTAAAATAGCGCCAATTACATGAAGTGATGATGAGCCCTGTAGCCTCTAGCTGGTGTTATTCTGCCAAAGGTGTTAGGGCTCAGAGCTAAGTTCTTTATTCTGTGTATATCATCAATACATGTGTATCGAAGACCGAAGATGAAACTTGCACTAACAGTTTGAAGGATTGATTATAAATTATATATCAGATATCAGATATTAAATTAGAAATACCACAGCACACTGTAACATCATCTTACGGACTAGGATTTTAATTCATACAACTTGAATGTAACACCTTGACATGAGTCATTGTGCAGTATTCATTTGACAAACCCCAGGAGCCCTCCCCCTCCCTGAAAAAAAAAAACTCCGGCCGTGGGAGCCGCAATTACGGGCTATATAGAGATACCGTCCTTCCGGGCTCAAAGGCCGGAAATTCCGGCTGCTGGAGCCGTAGCTTCGGCCTCTGAACCCGGAGCAATCGAAGTTACGGCTCCAGCAGCCGGAATTTCCGGCCTTTGAGCCCGGAACGGACGGTATCTCTATATAGCCCGTAATTTCGGCTCCCACGGCCGGAGTTTTTTTTCAGTGTATACTACAGTATTTATTCCACCACCAAATCTATCCAGCACGACCCTTTAAGTTATATACGAGAAAGGTGCAAAGCGGCGGTGCACCGCCGTCACTTCGGGGAGAACGTTTTATCATATTCTGCACACTTTGACATTCTTCATTTAAACAACCCCTCCCCCCGCCCTTTTCCCGCTAAAACACGCAGTCTGAAAGAATAACTGACTCTGCCACACGTTGAGCCTACTTCTTAAGATCAAATGAGCAGGGCGCATATTTGCATTTGGTATACCTATTTGTTCGCAACTTAAATTCATAAAAAGGTCTCCTTTTGTCCCTCTTCTATAACGAATACGATATATCTTGAATAGATCCATGAATTGAGTGCCCCTGCCAGCAACATAATATTTTTGATAGTAATTTGGAGCATACCTTTGTCCTGCACAACCGCTGGTTTTAAGCTTTGATCAGCTTTGTCGTTAAAATTCCTGCAATGTTCCGTCTGTTTTGCAATTAGTTTTATGGACAAATCAGCTTCATCTCCTGTAAGAAATTAGAAATCTAAAAAGAAACGCACTACTTAAATACCCTAAGTTTCCTACTTCATAACGTATGGAGCTTCACCCGGGTCCATTTCCACAGCTGCCCCACATTTGAATTTAAAGCAAAAAATTATATCATAATTTTTGAATAGGCAAAAGTAAGTAAAAATAGAATCTTTTACCCTTCATTTTACCTTCGACTCAGTAGAAAATATGTTTTCATATATATTTTGTAGGTCTTATTGGCACCACTATGTTTACCCGATAATAAGCCGGAACATATAACGATGGCGTCACTCAATGTACTTGACAAATCAACAAAATAAAAATAATAATAATAATTAAAAAAAAATCCTCAACTAATATTCCTTCATTTTATTGGTCTGTTCACTGTTTTCATAGGGCGGCAAAATTCAAACAAGCCACTCAGATGTAAATATTGCAAGTTGATAAAATGTAGAAAAATTGAATTTTGTTATTAAAATTTGGAAAAAAGCACAGGACGCATTCCAGTGAGGGAATGTAGACTAGATTTTGGAGGTCTTGAAATCAACGATAACAAATTTTCTGAAACATTTCTTAAAAATAGTCCTTTTATGATATGTTTCGCTGGATACGTGTCAAAATTGTTGTTGCTTGTGAAATGAAAGCCAATCATTTATTTCTCAAAACTGTTCGATTCACTTAACAATCCGTAGCGTGCAAAATAAAAACAGTAGAACAACATTCGATTTGGAACTCGCTGACACCCAACGGTATATAACCCCCCAAAAGGGCTCCTTAATGATCAGGATAAATGTCTCTGTTTAAATATCCCGTGCAAAGAGCGCCGGATCTCCCGCCCGGATCTTTCTTGAGTTGCCACGGTGCTTGGCCCTCTCCGTCCGTTTCCATGGGCAGAAGTCAAAGCGGAGAGAGATTTGACCACGCTGCGCTGCCGAAGGTTCCGGCTACCTGCGAGCCTGCGACTCCGGAGCGGAAGATTCGAGTTCCGACGGAGCGCTAACTTGTTTTACAGTCCCCGCCCCTCCCATTTCAAATAGACGGACTTTACTGACTTAGAGCAAATTCGATCTACATGGAAATTTTGCTTCGGAGTTATACAGTGGAGGAAATGAAGGAAAAGGAGCGGCAGAAGTAGACAAAGCACACTTAATGGTAGGAATAGAAGTAGAAACGTACTTGCTGTTTCAATAATTTTTGCTGGGTAGTACTCCCCATCCTTGTATTTCACGTGAATCTCAGTGTCACTTATATGTTTCACACAGTCTTCATGGCACGTATAGTTGATTCTGTTTTTTTTAAATTCGACCAAATAGAAAGTTTCCGATGGCGACGTCTTATCTGTAAGGAGTGAAGAAAAATAAAACTTGAGTTCAATAATGAGTATTTAAAAACTTACTTACGAGGTTTTCGTTCGAATGAATGTGCTTACTTTTTTACTTGTTGAGTTCTTCAGCTCTTGCCTTTGCTAAAGCACCAAGTGTGTAAATTATTTAAGGACGTATGAAAAAGGACGGAGGATTGTTTCAGAATAATTCTACATCTTTCACAAAACGTTGAAATACCTGCCTTGTTATTGTTCAAACTACCATAATAACATAATTATATTCGTCAGATGGAATTGTGGCAAGGGTATAAGCAGATTGCTTGTGATTGATGAACTCACCCTTGTTCATAGCTCCCAACTCCCGGCTCTGTGGTTTCGTTTTTATTTCAAATTCCTTTTTTTCCCACTCGGCCTTCAGGTTGGCAGGGCGTGCTGTAAAAATCGAGAAAACAATGCCAGCATACGTAGAAATAAAATCGGATACAGGAATTTGACGTACCTAATATTGGACACAGAAACGATCTAAATAAGGTCATTTACGTCCATTACTGCGAGCTTTTGATAGCCACAACACCACTTGAAGTAAGCTGATATTTCAAGGTGCCTGTCGGTTTCGGGAGCCTGTATCACGTGCCTTTTGAAACTTTGCTTCCCAAAATCCAAAAGGATTTGGATGTAGTAAAAGAAGCTGCAAGCGAGGCACTGCGGAGCAACTACCATTGGGATTCCGCATTCAGTGTATTGCAAGTATTAGTTCCGAATCTACTTCGTGAACCATGAAATCTTGTTAATGCTGAGCAGAGTCGATTTGATTCGATCAGACAAAGCGCAGCATTGAACCGCGTTTTGCGATTAGGAACTATAAATGTTGGCTCATCCGTAAAAACACTTATGGTCATAGGGAAACTATTGGTACCTACGTCATTTCTAAACTGCGCCAAAAATTATAGTTCCTAATTGTAAAATGTGGTCCAATTGATTTGACACTGACGTCAGAAAACATGGATCTGAATTCGAACGTTTATTTTACTGTCTTGATTTAATGGATCGGTTGCGCTGGTCACAGAATGCAAAATGGTTTTCTGATGCTTGATTCTTATAGATCGGCTAATACATACATATCAAGCCGCTAACTCAGCGCACTAGAGCGCTCTGCGACTCCAAATCGCCATCGGAATAGATCCTCCCACAAATCATCGGGCAGATTACACCGCCTAATCTCAACTCCTATTATCTCACGCACTCGCTCATTCCGAACACGCTCTCTCCGCGAGATCCCTGCAGACCTTCGCCAAAAGTCCATTTCGGTTGCCCGTAAGATATCCTCAGATCTTTTCTTCAATTGCCAGACCTCACTCCCGCAATAAGATCCGCTCAAACAGCAACTTCATACCCTCAATATTAACCGAGATACTTCGCTTGAAAAAATCGGTTCATGACCTCATCCACCGCGGAAGTGACAGCCTTTGTTTGTTCCACCTTGCTTTCATTCACCAGCGAGACACACGTTTGCAACTTGAAACTCGAATTAGAGCAAGGTAGAAGAAAACAAGGCTGTTACTACCACGGTGGATGACGTCATTAACATAATTTTTCAAAGCGCGATGTCTCGGTTAATATTAAGCGCAGAAAGTTGCTGTTTGGTCAGATCTTGTTTTTTTAGCCGATGTATGAGAATCAAGCATCAAAATACGATTCTGAGTCCAGCGCCTGTGACCCATTCGGACGCGACGGTAATTTTGACAAGGAAGACTGCAATCGCGACGGTAATTTTGACAAGGAAGACTGCAATCGCGACTGAACGTTCTTGCTCCAAACCTCTGCTCCAAACTCAGGCGAGATAAGACTCACCGCCTCCTTGATTGCACGTGGCTGAGGGAGGGAGCCGTTTTGGTGTTCGAGAGATTTTATCTCTGATTTTGAGTTTACAAACCGTGAGTAATAAAATTACACGAAACGAATACTGCGACTTGCACGATTACACATATAGACTACTTTATGGGACCAAACATTTTCTCTCAATGTAATTACTCTCTATTTATTTACCTGCGATTTAACCTAATTTAACTTATCTCGCGTGTGCTCTGATTGATTCTAATCGAATCTGCCAATATTTACTGTATGAAGAGCAAGGACTTTTCTCATAATGACTTTTTTTGGAAATTTAAGATCACATGCAAGTGAATTTTCTCAGTCAGCAAAAACGGACTGACCCCGATGGCTAGGATGCGCTCGCCCTTTTTTTCGGCCAAAAAGACCTCAAAGTGGATTCTTATATCAAATACAGCAATTTTTTAAAACTCGCAAAACCTCTCAGAAAAGTTCTTGAATCTTCCTCTTCCCTTTACAGGAGGAGCCTTCAATCCTCTTTTGGACAGGCCCCTAGCCCCCTCTCCCCAATCCCAGAAAAATTGGAGCCAGTCCGTCCTTGTTGTCGTTTTCGGCTGAGTATTTGAACAGGGGTTGATTTTACATGCAACCAGAGCAGTGTTGTGCACGAAATAAATCAAGGAATTACGGGCACCTCGGCCGTAATAAAGACATTATTAATTGGAGGATGACAGCCATAGTGACTTAATTCCATTGCAACATTTCCAACTTTGAACTACCTATTTTTCCATTCAGTAACAGGTGCATTTCATGTACAGAAAATTTCAGAGGATCTCGTCTGATCTGCAAAAATTTATAGCAATAAGTAAATAAATAAAAAGAGCAACTGCTCCTGAGGAAATAAATGAATACATTTTCAGATGCACCATTGACACTTTGCAATGCAACCAAGCAATCCTTAAGGGGTCTACTCGCTACGAACAAAGCGGCGAGATTCTTTCTGTAGAAACTCACAAGAATAGAAAAAAAATACTTTAGAAAAGTACGTACTTCCTGTGGCAAGTATTTCTGCTTCATAATACTTCCCGTCCTTCCACATAACTTTCGCCTTCGTGAGATCGGTCTTCTGAACTCGCTTCTCGGGACAAGTATATAAAATGCCATCTTCAATGAAGCGCACCAAGTAGAAAATATCGCTAGTGGGCCTCCTTCCTGGGAAAATAATTGTAGGAAAGAAACTTTAAGGACTTCTTGTATACCAAACACGTAAAATTGCGGGAAAAATGCGGGAGATTGATCCTTCGACACTCGCGCAGATTGCTCTTTTTTCTTGCAAGGAGACTTTCGCACGGAATTTTAAAAGAGCATAAGTTGGAGGAGCGGAAGGAGGTGGGGAAGAAGGTCCAGAGGGAACACGCCGCTTTGACGCATACTAAATTTTTTAAAACATGGTGAGCTACTTGATCAAATTATCGAGGTTTTATATTCTATTCAAGGAGTTCTTGATGTCCTGCGGTAACAGGAAAATATTTAATTTCATTAACTTTTTACAATTTCCTGTCAAAAAAGTCAAACTTACACCCCCCCTCAAATTCAGCAAAAGTCGAGGGCTGTAATATGGGCAAGCTACGTGAGTGATTTCCACGGTATCTGGACCAAGTAGCATGTTCTAAAGTCCAAATTCCCGCAAGAGTACCGAGCTCTTCAATTTTTTATCGGAAATTTTCGAAGATTTTCACGAAGCTGACTCTGATATCCCCCCTATCCCCTCCTACATGGACTGAATGGACGAAGTGGGAATGAAAAGGTGGTCATGGGTCACCTCACGCCGCGCCGCGCCTTTTATTTGGTTTTCGGCGACTATCGTTTCCAAAATCTCTTGAGTGTGTAACAGGGCGAGTCTCTTACATCTTGAGGCGCAAAAAACGACAATGACCTCTACTTCCTCCTCTCTACCGCTAATTTTACAGTATGTCCGATTTTTCTCTTAAAAAAGTCATTTCCGGTATTCTCACAATTGCCAAATTGAACAAGATTAAAATATAAATTTTCTTTGGGATGTCGGAGCTAATCTCTGTATTTTAGCCCCAAAATTCAGAAATGACTTAAATTCATAACCGCTTTTCTATAATTCCTGAGAAAGGTAATTTTTTTCTATAATAGGTAATATTTCTCTCTAAATGTTTTTTAATAGTGGGTATTCCAGCGGTGAATCTCACAATCAGCCACGAACAGTTACAATACGATCACTAGCCCGGGAAACGAAGCATTTGTCTCTAGAGCTTGGCTCATACAGATTAAAAAAAAACTGTTTTAACATTGGATCCTCATGAAATTTTGCAGATTTTTTTCACACAGTGGTTTAATTAAGTAGAATATTGAACATTTCTTAAACAATTTTTGACACGGCAAAAATCGGAAACTTAGACAATATTCTTATTTGAAAATGTCAGACACTAAAATAAATTCTGGCAATGCATTTTTTCTGGACTGCAAAATACACTGTATGTGCTCAAATTTGGATAGTAAAATTAAACAATTCTATTTTCCACCTATAGCGATTTGATTCAAGCTTAATTCGTTTTTNAAACCCCGCCATAAAATGTTTAAATGTTTAATACCACCTTCGAAAACAACAGAAATGAAGCGGGTCGCCACGCCAGCCGGGCTTTTGCTCGGAACGAAAAATACGATAAAATATCGTCACCCTCCGGCTAATTATCGAAAGCGCCTTGCGACGTTTCAAAATTTCCGCCGCCATTTTATTTTTTTACAGAGAAATTGTTGGCTGAATCTGTTTGAAAATTTCAATGAATTTTATCGGAAGCAAAAAGAAAATTCCCCGGAATTTTCGGACAACTTTGCCGAACAATTTCTCTGTACAAAATTAAACACTGGTGGAGAAAACACATTGGATCGAGAGTCCAGACTCTTGAAAACATTGATAAGAAAATGGACTCTTGATTCAATCAGATTCAAGCTTAAATCAAGAACCAATCCTCTTAATTTGAGCGGATTTCCTTTCGATTTAGGCTTAGATCTGATTGAATCAAGAGTCCATTTTCTTATCAATGTTTTCAATAGTCTTGACTCTAGATCCAATGTGTTTTTTTTACCAGTGAAGGCGGCGGAAATTTTGGAACGTCCCAACGCAGTCCCTACGCAGTCCTACCCTCGGGGCACTGCGCACCCTCAAAGACCCGCTTCGCGGATTTCGCTGGAATGTTGAAAGGATGTGTCCCATTAAGGAGGGTATTTTGGCCCTAACTTTGGTCGAAAATTGAAACAGCTTAGAATAATGTCATGTATGGTCAAATCGACTCTTAATCATCGTCCCTGTGAGAACTTGTCCTAATTGAGGTGTTTTTGGAAGGTTTTTGCCTGATTTACCAGCGCAAAGTAGTGAAGTTTTGCAGTTTTCTCGAATAATTGCTCATTTTCGATCCTAAAGTAGATTGTTTATGTATGAGCGCAAGCGACTACCAATTTCTTCTTTAAATATATTATAATAATGGTTGTACTAAAAATGAACATATTCGAATATGAAAGTGGTAGTCGCTTGCGCTCATACATAAGCAATCTAAATTAGAACCAAAAATGAGCAATTATTCGAGAAAACTGCAAAACTTCACTACTTTGCGTTGGTGAATCAAGCAAAAACCTTTCAGGAACACCTCAAATAAGGACAAGTTCTCACAGGGAGGATGATTAAGAGTCGATTTGACCATACCTGACATTATTCTAAGCTGTTTCAATTTTCGACCAAAGTTAGGGCCAAAATACCCTTCTTAATAGGACACATTCTTCGAGTCTCCTGATGAGTTTGTAAGTTTTGCTAACAGCGACGTGAATTCTATTTATCTTCCTCATCGCGAGTTCGAATTACATATGAGGAAAGCTGTAAGATGCATCATCAGGATTTTGTTCACGCTAATATGTTGAATTCCTTCAGTACTACGATATTACTTGTATTTTTTTCTGCAGATAGGGACGGGACAATTCAGCAAATTCACCAAATTGAATATGGACACAATCTTTGATGTTACAATAATGATATTTAGTTAGGGAAAAAAGGAGGAGGAAGAAAGAAAAAAAATCCTTATTAATGAATTATCTCTTTTTAGATACCGTCGAAAAGTTAGCAAACAATGGACCACTAAACAAGGTACAAATTTCAGCATTCTGATACATGTTTCTTCATCAAAATTTCACATAAAACACGATGCGCACAACGAATATTACCGAAATCAACTCATTCAGAAGATATTAATGATTCTTGGTGCGTGAATTCAAACCACCCGCTCATGAAAACTCAATGCTCTACGTGATGCATATCGCTCGTAAACGTTATCATGAACGTCTCTGCGATAAAAAAATCTGGCAACCTCAATCTGGACACTTTTGCTCAGCTATAGCAAATTACTTATAGTTTGAAAAACACATGGTGGGAAACGAACATTGCTCGATTGAGAAGATTGCTGAAACCGTTGTAGTGCGCGATTTGGCTCACGTAGAGCTTTGAGTTTCTTGTGAGCGGGTAGTTCAAATTCCTCGTAACCAATGTGAAATAAAAATGTTAATAGCTTCGTTAGGAGTTGGCTTCAGTAATTTTCGTTGCGCGAATCGTGTTCTACGTGAAATTCTGGTTAAGATGCATGTATCAGAATGCTTAAATTCGTACTTTGTCTAGTGGTCCATTGAAACAGGCACCTCGGCCATAATGAAGACATTATTAATTGGGAGATGACAGCCATAGTGGCCTAATTCCATTGCAACATTTCCAAGTTTCAACTACCTATTTTTCCATTCAGTAACAGGTGCATTTAATGTACAGAAAATTTCAGGGGATTCTCGTCTGATATGCAAAAATTTATAGCAATAAGTAAACAAATGAAAAGAGCAACTGCTCCTGATGAAATAAATGAATAAATTTTCATATGAACCATTGAAACTTTGCAATGCAACTAAGCAATCCTTCGGCACTCATTATGCTAATATTTGTGAAAAAATGATGGAATAAGACAAATAAATTGACATTAAAGCGTTCATGCGTACTTACGTTTCTCGCTTTCCATGGCTTTTCCGCTGTCACTTGATTCTTTTAATTTACCACATATGACCACGATAATAACCACATTTAATCAAACCAAAAAAGAACAAGGAAAAAAAACCACACTCAAATATTCACTTCTAAATATTTAAAAGAAATTAACCCGAGTAACGCGCAACTTGAGAGCCGAGGGAGACCGAAGAATAGACTGATTTCGGAAAGGGACAACAGAACGTTCAGACGAAGCGGTTGGCGAAAACTGAAGTACGGAAGAAGTGACCAGAGCAAAGGAACCGAAAGGAAAAAGGAAAGTGGGCAAAGAAATGGAAAGGAAAAAGGGTAGAGAAAGGAAAGGAAAAGTGGCGAAAAACCCATACAGGGGAAAAGGTGTGAAGTCAAACGCTAATAATTTCCGAAGGGCTCTTCATAATTTGTGGGTCAACCCGTTCGCAGAAAACTGGCAGGCTTCAATGTATGAAAGGGTCCGAGCCGCGGATTCCTCATGATATTGTGTTCCGTCACGTTCGCTTTTCGCGAGGCGGTTGATCCCTATTGAAGTCGAATAAATCTGGTATTTGTTGACACCAAGCGGTTGTCCTTCCCTCGATCAAAGGACCCGAAAATCTCTGTTTTCAAGAGTTTTCGTTTTTCAAGGACGTGGGAAATATTTTCAACCGTTCCTAATTTGAATTTTGCAACTATGTGTCTTCGGAAAGAATGCGTTCCGACACAAAGCAGTGGTCAAATTTATGAGGAGCTGAATGTTAACATTTCCCTGTTAATTTGACACGTCATATTTGCGGTTGGGTAGCGCCGCTGATCGTCACTTGTTTTATTATCAACTCAAAGATGGTTTCGAGGGTGAATTCACTTCACTAGTTCTTTAAACTCAGAGTGGCAGATGAGGCACATCTAATGAAGTCTTGCGAGATCAACCTCACTATGCGGTATTGTCAGAAACCTGATTTAAAATTCTTCTGATGGGGTCTCAAAGTCACACAATACCTAGGAGAGGTACAACAAAGGAAATGACCGAAGCAGAGATTAACAATCCTCAACTTTATATCACTATTAGTAAAAATAATTAATTAGGTCAACTCGTGAGATATTTTTCTCAAAATCTCAGAATTGAGTTCCTATCGCCTGTAGGCGTGTCTTGGCTCCATAAATGGATTCCCCAAAAATTAAAAAACAAATTAATGAGATTTCATGCGTATTTTTATGATATATTCCATCTTTGTTGCTGGTCCAAAAGAAATGGGAGTGGATAGTCAGTATAAATGGTGCCAGCTTGCTCAACGAACATGCAGGGTTGATTTTTGTCGGAGTTGTAAAACCATTAATCCCGATCAACCGGTTGTGTGCGGATGCATCGTTAAAGTTTCGACTTCTCAATCAGCCATGTTAGATCACTAGAAGTAATATTACTGTAGGTGATGTCCCGCCACTTAATAGGGGGTTGCGAAAGTACCTATGATGGTCTTCTTGACGGGGAAGGCCACACTTAACCTGACGTTAGGCTAAAATCTATGTGAATTAATTTAGGAAAATTCTGATTGAGCCATGGCGGGGCGCTCATTTGTTAGGCACCATGAAGGTTGACCCAAACCTGGCGTGGTTTAACAGGAAAGTTTTACAGGCGTAATGTGGGGTGAGCAACCAAACCTGGTGTGATTTTTAGGGAGGTAAGAAAACATGCACTTGAAAATGGAACTTGTATAAAATCGGAAAAAAGAGGGGACACACAATTCACACATAGATTTTACCTAAAAACATTGTCGGGACCTCGCCCGGGTCCCGACAATGATAGGGGGTCCCGACAGTGCGGTCCGTGGACGATCTTAAGTCCCGACAAGGATGGCTACGTTAGGGTGGACCGTTTTTGAACTTTTTTCGAAATTGCAAGACGGCTAGTGCTAAACAGTTGCGTTTTGGCATAAAAATAACGCTCAATTTTTTTCAGAATTTTTGGATGATGTCCTGAGCCCGTCCCGACGCCATCTTTGTTGCCAAATTTTCGATTTTTCGAGAAATTTTAAAGACTCTGTTTAAGGCCCGGGAAACGCGTAGAATTAATCAAAATGCAATTTAAAATACTTTAAATATCATTTCAAGCGATACAGGTCAGGATAGGACACCCCCAACGCGCAGGGAATGCCTTAGGGGACGCAATCATGGACCCCCGAAATCCCTTAAAAATGCGCTTAAATACTACCTATATTTTATGTTGATTTTCATTGATTCTATTTTGCTCATACTTTGTGTTATGACTAACAGAACTTATTAGTAGACTCTGTCCTACTATTTTACGGCTTACGATGTGGAATTAGGGTGCAAAGGAGTGCAACAGGGATGCCATATCCTTAAGTAATGAAAAAATAACCATCAGGCTAGAATGGGCCTCTGATCCTTGGATATCACTGGAATAATGTTCCTGTCACCTGAACTGAGTACTTCTTAGTACAGTATGCTCAGACTGATGGTAAAATATAATACAATTGAACTCATTAGTAGTTCAATCTGGCAGCAGTGGGTGGCGGTTTCCATGCGCTTCGCGGATCGGAGGGTGGGTCACGGCGCCGATTTTTTTTAAGGCGCTGAGCGCAGAAAAATTATTGTATTTGACAGTTTTCCATCAACCTCAAAACGGGTGTGCCGAGATTGAGGAGGCTAATGTATCTCACATTGTGTAAGCAAATAATATACAATAGTTTTTTTAAGTCCTTAAAAACTGTTTTTGACAATTTACACTGTTGCCATAAGCACTCCAGTACAGAACAAAAAATACACTAATTTTCTCCCAGGCTCGAGTAAATTTGGAAACAGTGTAAATTGTCAAAAATAGTTCTTAAGGGCTAAAAACATCTATTATTTTCTTACACGTTGTGAGATATATTAGTCTCCTCTACCTTGGAAGACCTCCTTTGAGGTTGATGAAATACTGTCAAATACGATAAGTTTGCTAGGCGCAGCGCCTCAAAACTAACTGTGCCTTGATCCACCCTACCCCGACCCCTGAGTCAAAAATGAAATTTTCTCGTTTAAAATAGGCTACAGGGTGTCTTCCAAAGGCATGCTTAGGTTTAGAATAATTTGGACGCATTTTATAGCCGGAAAACGCAGTTCCGCGGATCGACCCATTTTCTTCCCATTTAAACCATTGTGATTTCCTCCGAAATTTTAATACAGCTTTGGGGGAATTATAAACTTTCAGATAATATGCTGAGACAACAGAATTATCTTTTGGGGACAAGAAGGAATGAGAAAAAGCCCGGGGAGCAAGGTTTTGAGATGGTCGCCTCAAAACGGAACACCCTCCGAGGGTAGTTAACTTCGTTCCTCTAGGATCCGCGAAGCGCATGGAAACCGCCACCCACTGCTGCCAGATTGAACTACTAATGTGTTCAATTGTATTATATCTTACCATCAGTCTGAGCATACTGTACTAAGAAGTACTCAGTTCAGGTGACAGGAACATTATTCCAGTGATATCCAAGGATCAGAGGCCCATTCTAGCCTGATGGTTTTTTTTTCATTACTTAAGGATATGGCATCCCTGTTGCACTCCTTTGCACCCTAATTCCACATCGTAAGCCGTAAAATAGTAGGACAGAGTCTACTGATAAGTTCTGTTAGTCATAACACAAAGTATGAGCAAAATAGAATCAATGAAAATCAACATAAAATATAGGTAGTATTTAAGCGCATTTTTAAGGGATTTCGGGGGTCCATGATTGCGTCCCCTAAGGCATTCCCTGCGCGTTGGGGGTGTCCTATCCTGACCTGTATCGCCTGAAATGATATTTAAAGTATTTTAAATTGCATTTTGATTAATTCTACGCGTTTCCCGGGCCTTAAACAGAGTCTTTAAAATTTCTCGAAAAATCGAAAATTTGGCAACAAAGATGGCGTCGGGACGGGCTCAGGACATCATCCAAAAATTCTGAAAAAAATTGAGCGTTATTTTTATGCCAAAACGCAACTGTTTAGCACTAGCCGTCTTGCAATTTCGAAAAAAGTTCAAAAACGGTCCACCCTAACGTAGCCATCCTTGTCGGGACTTAAGATCGTCCACGGACCGCACTGTCGGGACCCCCTATCATTGTCGGGACCCGGGCGAGGTCCCGACAATGTTTTTAGGTAAAATCTATGTGTGAAACTTCGTAATGCCGGGAAATTATACGTTAAAAAGAATCTTCCTCTGTGACTTAAAAGCATGTTGTTTGATCCTAATTTGAACAATTTTCGCCTACTTCATAATTTTAAGGAAGTCCCGATTATGATGGTAGTAATGCGATTTTCTCCCTAACTGGAATAGGGACCCTTGTCGGGACTTAAAAACGAACATTTTTCAAATTAGGAAAAAACTGAACATCATTTCAAATGAAAACGTAAAATATTTTCTAACCTATAGCCTAATTCCCCATCGACGCCTGACACATATATTTTTCCTGAAAACACTGCCGGAACCCGGTCGAGGTCCTGACAAGGATAGGGGGTCCCGACGCGAGGTCCCGACAGTGCGGTCCATAGCCGATCTCAGGTCTCGACAAGGTTAGCTACGGCACCTATCTGCACTCCTCCAGAGGCAGCTTTAAGATTCGCATGTACTGTGAGTGCCTCTTTAGGGTACCGTTCCTCCAGTCTTCGTTTCTCATGTCCGCCGGCAGCAAATTTTTAAAAAATTCAACTTAATAGACTGCCATCTTGAACTTTTAATAGACGGGGTTCACCAATTTTCGTCGGGATGTGTCCCTTTTTAAGCTTTCTTATGATGTGTTACCCGATGACGGGATGTTCGCAAAAGTTTAATGGGTGGAGGGAGCCAAATTTCTTCTTACCAATTAAGGGAGGTACCATATAATTT